ATGACTACTTAAAAATATTCTAATCTCTCAACTCAAAAGGCATTTTTCATGTTACTTAATCATATTGTCAGGAACAGAAAGGGACTGCCATGCCTTTCTAAAATACACTATCTAGAAGACAACTCTGAATAAAGACAGGCTGACAGGAATCCTCTACAAAGAGGAACCCAGGCCCTATCCAAGGGAGAGGAGAGAAAGCCAGAGAAGAAGTAACCAAGTGTGTAATTGAGTGTCCACACCACTCTATTAGACAGTACTGTCATCAGTCCCAGGAGCCATGGTGGTGTCGGGGGTTACATATCGGGATGCGAACTCAGGATCAGTAGCTCGAGAAGAAGTGTTTCCTGTCTCTTACAGATAGATGTACAGCCTCGGAAACCGCTCGGGGCAGTTTTACCCCATCCTACCGCGTCCCCACGAATCAGACTTGATGATAGGGACGTTTGTTTGGGGGTTGGTTTGGTTTGTTGTGTTGTTAGAATTAATTCCATTGTATAGATTAGCCCCTAAAGTACAAGTTTGAATAACTTTATTGGGTTCAAAAAACTAGAATGTAGCAATGCCAGAGCTGTCCACATTTCTCTAAATTAAAGTTCATGTGATTTCCTCTGATATATGCTGTAAAATATAATCATTCCCTCTATAGGTAGAAATATATGAAACATAAATACAAATAGGGATATATGAAACCATTTAATAATGAACAAATAAATTTTGTATACACACAAATGTGTGTGTGTACAGTGACACATTATAAACTAAGCTCACTGCCATTGATTCAGTTCTGACTCCTAGCAACCATGTAGGGCAGAGTAGAACGTGGAGATGATTCATCTTTACAGGAGGAGAAAGCTTCATTTTCCGCCTTTGGAGCCACTGGAGGTTTCAAACTGCTCATCTTGTGGTTAGCAGACCAACACGTAACCCACATTGCCACTAAGGCTCCACATTGTATATTGCCCTTACTTTCTTGTGGATCTGCTGTTGTGTCTGTATCTCCCTGTCTTCTGCATTTATCTGCAGTGTTTGCTATTGGTCTCGCCTGACTTTACCCAAACAAGTGGAGTTGTGGACCCACGGTGGGCTGCAAACCCCAAGGTCAGCCGTTAAAACCCCAGCTGCTCCGGGCTTCCTCCTCCCATAAAAAGATCCGATCTTGGAAAGATGTCCACACACAGACTGTCCTGTCCTGTTCCATCAGGCCGCTATCAGCATCAACTCAACGGCAGTGAGTTTGAGTTTACTCAAACCCTGGGTGGTTCTAGTCCTGCCTTAGGAACCAGGCTGGAAGAGAAAGCTCGCCCCGGAGATCCGCTGATGGGGCTTCCTTTCAGAAAGATCATCCTTTCCTCTTTCTGTTCTGAGGATGACCTTTGCTTAGAAGATTTTCAGTGGCCTGGACTCATGGCTAACCCCCAAATCATCTTAGGTTCATGTTTCCCTTCATTCATTGTTAGCATACTATTAGACATTATGCTATTTCCTATTTGAAAAAGTGTTAAAAGTATTAGGCCAAGAAACTTTAACATGTCACAACATAGGCTTCCATGTAGCCTGTATAATTATTCTAAAATAGCACTTCACAAAACCTGTTAAATTCAAGGAGGGAAAAAAAACTACCAATCCTCCCAGGATTGGGTTTTTTTCTTATAATTTTTGCATAAATGTGTGCACATATAAAACGAACCTCTTCCGAAGCTCTTAATTGACTATGACCCTCTGGCATTCAACCACAGTTATGAATTAATTTTCCTCTGAAACAGGAAAACTAACATAATTCAAATATGCTATCTAAAATAAATGATAATTTTACTGAAACTACATCATTGTTCACAATTGAAATGTGGTACTGTGACAGTGCACTCCATTGGAGTAGATATGTCTCTAGTGATTGGATTCCGTTTCCTACATATACTTGTCTCTATTTAGACTATTGTGAAATGTACAGTACACCACAATGTCACTTGACCTACAACTTATGAGAACATATCCTTTAAGTATTAAGTTTGCCTATGATCATTTCTCATTAATCACCAACACATAATTCTCCATAATGTCAAAATTATTCTAAGTACTAAAACTCAAGATTATTTAAAATAACAAAAGACCAGGCTCACTGCTTGACTAGGAACTGGCTCACTCCTGGAGACTATGGCCCTTAGTCACCTGGTAAGACTCGAAGTGAACTTAGTCCCCTGAGTTCAACTTTCAGCCAAATAATAGGCCAGCCTATAGGATGAGCAGTAACACCAGGGAGGTACCAACTCCTTAGAACAATCCACCAATCCAGTTAAACAATCCACCAATCCAGAGAAAGAATTCTGAAGATAAGAAGGGGCAGGGAAAAAGGAGCAATGGAAATGGGAAGGCCAAGGAGGGAGGGAGATGAATGTAGTTACATGTTGTTACATTGTGAGGATTGCAGTCAGTGGCACGAAACAAGATCTATATGAATTATTGAATGGAAAGTTGATATGCTCTGTAAACTGTCATCTAGGTCATAATTTAAAATTTAATGAAATTATACTAAATAAAATTCCCAACAAAAAGATTTAAATAATGTGGCAAAGCTCAGATATAATTTTTTAAAGCTACACAAAAAGATATTTGAACAAACTTAAAAGGGTTTTAGAAAAATGGAATTAGGAGGTAGGAATTTAAAATTTAAACTTTATTTCTCAACATAGGCCACATTAAAATCAAGATACTTTATATATGTGTGATGATATCAGCCATCAGTCCATTTCTAAAGAACTGCGGGGCTTCTGAACTTAATGATGTCAATGCAATCTTTATTTTCATGGTTAATTGAAGGAAAATGGGTGCCCTTTAAATATTTTTTTAAGATTAGGAAACAGAAGTCAGAAGGAACCAAATTAGGATTGTCACTTGGATGGCTGTGATTCCACACGGCTCCTTGCTTGATGAGCGGAGGAAGCCAGAGTGTTGGCTGTTAGCGTGGTGGAGAAGAACTCTCGGAGAAGCTCCCTTTGACTGGCTTTCTCCAAACACGCTCGTAAGAGGCAGATGTCATGATTTGGGCCTCCAAGAAGTCAACCAGCAAAATATCTTGAACATCTAAAAAGAGAAATACACAGAATTGTTGCCGTGACATTTGCTCTTGTCCTATTTTTGCTTAAAGAGGCCACTTCCACCCCTTGGGAGAGGTAGCTGTGACTTCCATTACTGACCTTGCTCTTTTCATTTAGAATTGTGGAAACTGAGCCAATGGAAATGTCCACGGTGTGAGCAATTTTTCTGCTCCTAGTTGGCAATCCCCATCTATGAAGGTGCAAACAAGTGAATTGTTTCCTGCCCAGTCAATGAGACTGGTCTGCTGCAGCACACTCCATCTTCCGCATGGTCTCGTCCCTTCTTCAATGAGTTGCCATCTGCAAACTGCTGGGTTCTTTGCGGTGTTGTCCCCACTTTTTGCAAGGCATCAATGATTTCAGTATCCTTCTACCCAACTTCACTATAAATTCAATGTTGGTTCTGATTTTAATTTATGCAGAATTCATGCTGGTCAAATGGGGCATCTTTTAACCTTCTTCGTGCCTCAGACTAGATCCTGTTCATCCATGTTAGAACAAGTTTTAGTTCCTTTGGTGGGAAAAAAAAATGTTTGAAGTCCATCATTTTTTTTCATAATATGCATTTTCCAGGCACTGTTTGAAGACTTCTCATATTCATTTTATGACAGTGTCTCCCATACGAATAAATATGATATGGTTTTAAAGATTTACAAATTATCCACGGAGAAATTATTACATTTTATTGCCCTTTATTGCTCTCAAATTTTGTCTTTCCAGGGTTTGCATGCGCATTCTCTTTCTCTCTTCTTTTCAAAATATTTTCTTGCGATTTGGGTGACGTTTTACGGAGCAAGCGAGGTTTCCAGCCAACGCCTATACAGATTTTGCTTTCGTGCCGCCTGCTGCAGTAGCCAGCCACACTGCGGCCGCACTTGCCCACTCCTCCCCTGTGTTGTTTCCACCCCCGCCCACCTCTCTGCTTAATCTCCATCCTTCACACTGATCCTGAGTAACATTTACCGCCACAGCTGCATTCTGAGGCATCTTCTGTAGGCTGTACATCATAGCGTTTCCACAAATCAGAAAAGGGTACAACAGAGTCTATGACCCATGGTTCGCCCATCAGGTCTGGACGTGAACTCATCCCCTAGGTCATTTTCAAGCAATCAAATGGTCTATAAAAGAAATCATAACAAGATATAAGTGCACACACCGTAGAATAATCTACTATTTGGGATCAAGAAGGCAACATTTATTCAAGGCAAACCACAGAAGGGTTAGGAAAAGAGTACGTGGAGACAGAAAACACAGCAAAGATGGCTGGGTGCTGTGGTCTTACATTCAGAGGGCTGCAGTGGATAAGCGAGATCGAACAGAATCTGTATGAGTTGTTCAATGTAAAACTATGGATAGACTCTTTAAACCTTCCCCTGATTCATAATAAAAATGTTTAATACTTTTTAAAAGATTAATTTTAAAAAGTTACTGTTTGAATGACATTTTTCTTGAATGCATAAAGAAGCACATAAAATACATTTCAAGTTAAATCCAAAATGAATCATCTCTTCTCTTTGAATTTGATTTACCAGGTACAAAATTAGTGTCTTTTTGTGTCAACAGCTTTCTATAATGAATTGCCATACAAAATTTTTGTCATTTTTACACTGTGGTATTTAGCTCCAGAATGTCAATTTATTTCTTCATTTTCTTTTTCATCTATGTATAGATGTGGATATGGATATAGATATCATATAGCTATAGATATTTGAACACATACGCACACATAGGCGTGCATACATATATACTGTGTGTGCATTCGATCTGTAATTTTTTAAAACTCTAAACTTTGGTGGGGAGAAGACTGAAGAGCAAATTCTAATCAGTGGTGTTATGTGATTATTTTTATTCTGTAGTGTCTGTTTGAACTTCTCATAATTCCGTATTCTTTGTTACTGTTTATTACAGAGGAGGTGTCTGCACGGATAGTTCAAGTAGTCACTGCTGAGGCTGTAGCCGTCCTGAAAGGTGAACAGGAGAAGGAAGCCCAGCATAAAGGCCCACCTGCAGCTCTGCCTTTAGGTAAATGAGAAGAGTCTCAGGTCAGGATCCCCGCCTGCTGGGCTAGACCACAGAACAAAGTCTTCACGTTCAAAGACAGACCATGTCCTTGGTTTCCTCTTTACCTGTGACAGCCACCAAATGCCTTTGTTGGAGACACTGGACAAGCTCTAGCCTGGTTATTTTGTTCGTTTCTAGGGATGGGAAGCATAGTTAGACTGGCTCTTAATGTTTCATTTTCCAGACCACTAGAGAGTTTTTATAAAAATAAAAGCACAGCATTTTGATTTCATGACCCTCACTTGTAGGGAAAATATGCTAACATTTTATCTAGAGATGATTATTTTCTTTTGTGGCTTTTGGCAGCTCTCTATACCACAGTTTTGAATCTTCTTGAACTGGCTAGATGTAACTCAAAGCCCAGGCTTCATTATAATCACCAGTGATTTTTGTAGCCTCTATGAAGTACCACTCTTCCCTTGGATCACCGGCTACCTTAGTATCTCTACGGTACTGCCCTTCCCTGAACTACAAGTCAGATATTCTGTGGAGATAGACAGGTAATGTACCCCATGCTTACCAAGGAAAACATTTTGATTTGCTGCCCTGCTCAGTAAGTGATCATGGGATCAATAGACATGAATATGTACATATGTAGATTCAAATAGAAATACACTAAAGAAGACTCTCTTCAGTTCAATATATGTATTTATCTTACAAGGTCAACCTTCATGAATGTATCCATTGTGTTTAATTTTCTGATCAATACTCAATCATTCATTATAATACAAAATATTCTGCTCCCCCAGGGCAAGTTATAGTTCACTCTGTAGTTTGTATAAAATGTTTTTTGACTGCCAAGCACTATTTTTCTCCTAAAGAGAGAGGGGTAAAAGATGCCCTTACCTGAAACTTTAACCTTAAGTCGGTCATTTACTTCTATCCTTTGAAGTACAAGAAAACCCAAACTTAAACAAACAAACAGAAACTTAAACTTGCTACATTGACCCTTTAGGGCTGAAGAACTAAAAAGACACCCACCTCCTCTATGACATTGACATCCACATAATCTTTAAAACAGATTTAGCTACTGGCCGTGAAGGATAAAGATTTCCTTTAAAGTTCCTTAGCCTCCTATCAGAAGTCCTAAACAAAGGGAGTGTTCTGGAAGAGGAATTGGAGTTCACTGTGAATGAATGACACCCTTTAGCATCTATAGCCTTTGTCATTGGCCCTTTACATGCGACATCAAGACCAGAAAGTGTCTTAGCTTCCACTAGCACATGGTGTCTGTCAAAATAATACTTTGAGAAATATTAAGTGCTGTTCTTTCTTTTTAGGTTTTCAAAAGCATTGAATCAGGTAATGAGGCTAAAAATAAGTCAAGGGCAGTCTTCTATTGAATCTTGCCCTGAATTGCATAGAGAGGCCTTTATTACAGATGGCAGAACTGCCTGCACGTCTAATGGCCTAATAGGGTGAATTGTTGTATCTCATGTTCCCATTGTTTGATCTTTAGCAGCTGAAGAGACAGCTAATCTGCCTCCTTCTCCACCCCCATCACCAGCCTCAGAACAGACTGTCGCAGTGGACGAAGGTAAGGCCTATTGGACTTTTCAGGGTTTGTCTTCTGACAAAGGGTAAATAAGCTGCTTTACTGAAGGACTGGACTTCAGTGTGGATCAGTCTAGGTTCCTGCTTGCCAGATGTCTGTTTCAAAGGGTGAAGAAGAATCAAAAGCCTTAAATGAGGGCAGAATCGTGTGTCCACCTAACATCAGGAAAGGAAGATTGTGATAAAGCAAAAAGGAAATATCTACTTGATACAGGAAAAGACAGCATTGTGTTTAAAATGCTAAAACAACTACAGAGAAGTAGTTTATTTAATGTAGAATGTTTTAACAGAGAAAATGCAAGGATGAAGCTTCCTTTTAAGTGATCCAATGAAAACACGTGTCAATGTCATCCCCGTCTCTAGTCAGAGTCAGATTCTTGATCAAACCAACACTTCCTCCTGGAAATGTCAAGAATCGTCTCTCCTTTGCTCATCATGGTATTGGCAGGTCCTCCTGGAGGGCCGAGCCATTGCAAAACCTCGATCAAAATGTAATGAATCAGTGAAGACGCTCATGAGTGAAGCTGACATTGATAGCTGTGAACTGGAAGCTTCTTTCCTGCTGAGCCCTGTTACTGCCTATGCATCCAGTTAGGCTTTTACTGCGTATGAACTGCCTTGTCAGCTTTTCACATCTCCTTGGTTCGCAGGAAGGATCTCTTGAGGACTGTTTATTCAGAATTTGAGATGAAAGGCACTAGTTGAGAGCAAACTATTATTCTCTGACCTACATCAGTTCGCTCAAGTGTATCATTCAAGGGTTATCAGAAAAAACAGTCAGAATTCATTTGTTGTTCCACCTAGTTTTGTTTTCATATGCTAACACCAGAAATTTAATATGAATCATCTTAATTACTATCTATTCATTCTTTTATTTCACTTCAAAATTATTTTCCAGTGTTCGAACTTGAATATGACACTTATCACAAGAAACCCATTCTCTTCTTTTAATTTATAATTATATTAATTTGAAATAGTCTTTGATTTCCTAAATATACAAATATAATTGATTCAACTGTGGTCTATCAACTCAGATAACTTCATTTTAGCGAATGCTTTGTTTTTAATGAAGTGTGGTTTTTTCTAACTTACCACTTTCTAAAATATTTAATAAACTAAATTCTTTTAAGGGATAACAGAAAATTTGAGAATATGGTGTAATTGGCAGTCATTATTCCTGAATTTCCTGTAAACCATGAGTTGATCTTTATAGATTTGAGATTTTAAATTTATAGATTACAAGGATTCTTTTTGGCCTGAAACTTATCCAGCCATCCACCTACATGATCCAGGTAATCTTTAAGTTTTTGAAATACAGTAGCGAACAAGGTGGACGTGGTCCTTGTGTATAATCAGCACAACATCAGATAGGTCATAGAAATTCAATAAAAAAGTACACAAAGAATCTCAAGATCGCACAGAAAAGGGGAAAGAACCCTTCTTTTATTGAATGGTTAGGCTTGGTTAACAAATGCTCTTCTAAGGTATTAACATTTCAACTGATCCCAAACCATGAGTAAGAGCTGGCCAAGAAGAGATGGAAAAAAGGAGGTATTTTAGGCAAAGTGTCCAACATGCGCAAAAACAGTCAGGTGGTCCAGAGCACACATGCTACGGGGACTGAAGGAGCTGTTGATGAGAAAAGACGAGGCGTAGAAGGCGATGGAGAACAGGCAGCCAAAGGCAAGATTCAAAAGCAATGATTCCACTCCTAAAGCTGTGGGAAGCTTCACGGAACAGTTTTGTTCCCTTTGGATCATTGATTCTGTTTCTGAGCCTCTGCTTGAGGACTTTCAAGTGTCAGAGGGCCTCTTAGCCCCACTGAGGGCTGTGATGTTGACCTACTCTATAGGTCTCTCTGCAGTCAAGTGATTTATTCTCCTTCCTCTTCTATTGGAATTGGAACAAGAAAAGAAGAAATAGGGTCCTTCTACCTCCCTGGGGATTTGTCAAATCAATTTTGTGGAGGTGATTACAATAGATATGATCAAAATATAAATAAGATACAGAATAACTTTAAAATTTTGATAATGGAATTAGATAAGTTAGAATCCCATTCCCAGGATATTACAATATATTTAGGGGAAATGTCAACTCATTTTAAATGGAAAGGAATTTAAAGACACTTTAACATTTTTTAATGCAGACTGTATTTTGATTGAATCATTTTTATTTTTGAAAATAATGCACTTAACTATATGAAGATCTAATAATTTGCTTTTAAAAGCATAACAATATGCTTTTTAAACTTATATGTGTACATCTCTATATATATACATGTATACATTCCTTTCGAACTTTACCTCATTAACTAAAAAGCCAGGGAATAGTCTCACTTTAAATGTAGGAGACGTGTGACCCTGACACACTAGCTCTACCTCTCTTTCTCTTAAACTGCAGTCAGTAGTATGTAGAATAAATAGCCTTTAGTAAATAACCAGTTTAGCTTTGTCAGAAAATAAATTACAACCCACTACCAAACAGAACTCCAATGATCAAATTTTCGGTGGTTTGTACAGAAGCGACTTCCATTCCGTTCATGCAAAGGTTAGCAGCAGGCTGCAGGGAAAAGGAGTGGGTGGCTTGGCTTGCTTTGGCGAGGGGCATCTTTCCTCGCTGACCCCCTTTCAAAGTGGCGTTAATCCCAGGACCGCAGTGACCGCCCTGCAGTCTGATCCTTTCAGACGAGCCTCGGAAAGCTCCTGGATTACACTGAGCGAGACACTGATTTGGAGGATGTGCTTGCTGTGTATTAATTATCAGTATTTTCAGCTGTTCTTTCCCAAGGAGGAAACATGAGAGCTTCTGCTAAAAGAAATTTAAGATACAAATTACTCTCGTTTAGGAATATTTATTTCTTGTAATTAATGTCATACTACCCATTCCCAGAGTATGCATCTACTGGAGGAAAGATCAACAAAAGATTTGGATGCAAAATTGAAACCAGTAGCCCACTTAGAAATATAAGTAATAGGGAAGTAAACTGGTCTCTTCCTATGTTAGAATGTCTTCAGATTAATCTCTCTTTTCATTTCGGCCTAAACATGACAGTTGGCATGTAGACGGAACTATTGCTATTTGAAGCTGATGTAAGAGCATTAGAAACATCAAAAACAAAGCCAGGAATCCCTCTGCTCTCGTAGGTTTGGTCCACAATTCCACAGTGGTGTTTTCTTGTGACATTGATATGGTGATATCTTAATTGCTCACCTGAAAGCACTGTCCCCTCTCGAGCATTCAGTGGCAGCAAACACAGTGGCCAACTCATGAGTCCTCAGTCCAAAGCTTGCAGAATGGAAAAGGCTTAGAGATGGTGGTGAACCATCTACGTGGAACCAGCTGCCTTCAGCCATACACTGCGAGGTCACACACAGCAGGTGCAATCACTGGGTCACTACTGCCCCATTCCTAAGCCTGGTGTCCAGTAAAAGTGACTACCCGTTTGAACCACAGGAGTTGACATTCTAAGACCAAGTTTTAAGTGACAAGCCTTACGTTTAAGCCAGTAGCAGGTTGACAATTTTTAGTTTTTTGAATGAAAGCAAATGAGGACATTTTCATTCCATCTGTTGAAACCAGGTAAGCTTCACTTTGAAGATTATATGTATACACGAGAGCTATGTTTGCAAGGCTACTCTGTCCCTTATTCTGTCACATTCCTTCGTGAAATAGAACGGCTCGTGACAAAAGTAGGGTCCTCACCAACATCCATACTTACAATAGAAGGATACATTCAGTCCTGCGAAGCAAAACTACTGTTATGTAATAATTTCACTTTGCAGAAGTACATCATAACTCTACCATTGATGGGTCAAGTGACAGGAAAGAGCAGGCATCCTTGAGAACAGAGATGCTCACATGTCAAATATTGTGCTTGGCACTTTCACTGATACCTTCTCATTTGAACCCCACCTGAGGATGAGAACCCCCAAAAACCCACAGAGTTGGGTATTATTCACACTTCACTCTGCTGTCATAGAGGTAGGAAGTGGCTTATCCAGAATTCAGATCTAAGTACTTGCAAACACAGCCCGGCTGCTTCCCTCAAATTGTCTTTTACTGTGAATGATATTTTCAAATGAGAACTTCTTATGACAAGCTGCTGAACTAATTACCTTTCTTCAAACTACATCCAAAATAATTTCTGGATGTTTTCCCGCTCCCTTGGTTGCAATCTACGAGCAGCGACCATACACAATTGTGCAGCATTTAAGAATCTGCTGTCTTCTATTGTCAGCACTGGAACCAAGTGTACTGTTTGGTTTGGGCTGGAAGCGGTCTCTTCTAAGCTTAACTTCCCTGGCCTATCTCTGGGATTTACACAAGGGGGTTCAAAATGTTCATAGAAAGTCCACTGTCTTTCATTTCATATTTCCATGAACCTTTTGAAGCTCCCTTGTACTATCGATGGACTGAAGGCTCAGTAACTGTTAGGTGCATGCACCTCAGAACATTCCCCTCGTAAACCGCAGAACCAAAAGTCCCAGACACTGAAGTTGTTGTGTCGCAGAGCTACTTTTCCACTGAAACGCCCAACGTTTTAGTGGGTTTATTTGTTCCTCGGGGGTCAGAATCAAGATGATCAGAATAGGAAACACGGTTCCTTTGAAATGTTGATGACCTGAAGCAAGCCTCTGGGCTGTTTTTACAGTTAGACACTTTTCAAAAGAAGGATGGCAACAAGATAAAGGAAGCCAAAGTCTTCAGAAGTTTGAAGCATCCAGTGAATATTGTCAGTAAGCTACCTGCCTGTAGCTTTATATTCTTTAGTTGGACACTGTAGTTGCTATATTTCTCAGGAAATAAAGGTTGAAAGACATTGGCACTTATCAGTTGCCCATCTAACCAGGTTAACACATTAGAAGTTTGAGAAGTAACTTGCATTCATGAGAGATTCTCAGTGAGTCACTGGGAAATATGAATGGCTAATACATGTGACAAGTATAGGACTTAGGACTTACTGCCCTAAAACTACGGTGCATTTTCAAATGAATGCTGTAATTCTGTCACCTTATATTCCAATAGAAGTTCTAACCATATGGAGAGATACTGCAAATTTTGTTTTTATTGCTGAGTTACGAAATTTTAATATAACTTCTCGGCAAAAGTAAATAGTGATCAACAAAGTTACTAACTTGCCACATAAGCCAGCGAGGTGGTGGTCAACACTACATTGAAATCAAGTATTTTACATTCACATAGTCCTTAAAATGCATTGTGTTGTACAAGATTCCAAGTGTGAAGCAGACTGATGTGAAGTCCTGTATTTAAGGAGATATATTTTAATAATGCAGATTTCCAAGCAAGTAGATACAGCAAAGGCCAGAGTTCTTTTAGTAGTTGATGAGAAATGCACAGTAAGGGTTTGAAACGTAAAAGCAGTTAAGAGCTAGTGGTACAACTGGAACTCTGTCAAGTCTTGAGTCGTCGGAAGCCAAAGACCTAGAAATTCTGAAGTTGCATATATAGTACACTTTCAGAAGAGAAGAAAAATGCAAAAAGAAACAAGTTTATAATATCATGAAGGTTCTTATCCATAAACCCCCATTGTCTTGTAAGTGAACTTGTGTTCAAAATGATGTCCCAAGCTATGTTTTATCGTTAGTGTCCAAAGATAGAGCTTTACAGACTGTATCTCGTCATGCAAAGTAGAATGGTACGTTGTCAGTTTGCATAACAGAGTAATATATGTATATATCTTTTTTGAGTTAAAATTATTAACGAAAAATTAAATGAACCAAAATGCTAACCAATTGAGCATCTTTGATGATTAAGGTTGTGCTTCATACAGGACTGTTTTTCCTCCATGATCACGCAGGTATCGATGCAAATATGTTGCTAAGAAGAATGAATTTGGGGGGAAATTTTTCTTCCAAAGAATGTATTTGTGTGTGTGTGACGCTTTGCTTCTCTTGGAATGTTTCCTTGATGATTCTGACTCGTTCCGGGGGGGTGGGCGGGGAGGGGAATGTATAGACCATTTCTACGGCACAGAAGAGTTATCGGTGCTTTGGATTCACTGAGGTGAATGGCAAGCTTGCTTGAAGGATAGTTCAAATCCAGTTGCTACCGAAGCACGACACAGTCAATGTCTCCCATTCTCCATCAGCTTGGTCTCGCTCATTCCCCTTCAGCCACCTTGTTGCTTCTGTGGCCCTCTGTGTCCCTGTGCGCTGTCTGTCTCGTCCGTCTGACCTTGTGTCTGTCTTGTCCAGTTCTCCCTGCAGTTTCTTCCTGTGTGTCTGTTTGTAGATGAAGGGGCTGAGGATCAAGTGGGTCCTCTGCACAGGTTCCCCAGCCACGAGCCTGCCACCAGCGGGGAGAGGCGTAGCCTCCTCGCCCCCTCCATTTCGGTGTCTGTGCCTGATGATGACCCTTACAATTCCGATGAGGAGTACTATGAGCATCCTTTGTTCAGCTCAGAATGGACTGCCTCTACTGTGCCCCCCAGTGTCCCAGCGCAGAGCGCAGAGGCCCCTTTAAGCCAGGAAAAAGGTGAACCCAGCATGGTCCCCTTTTGCTCCTCCTCCCCAGCCCGCAGCTTTGGCTCCACGCAGCTTACTGAGTGTGCCTGCATTTGCCGGTGGGAGGGGGAAGGAGCCTGCTTATTCCATGTGAAAGTGAAGTCTCGGTAGAGGTTGTGTCCATCCAAATGGGTCCACACTTACAATCTGCAAGAAACCTTCCCTGGGGCCTGTGAGCACTTGTGTCTGTCATTGCTTCTGAGAAGGAAGAGTTAAAAAAAAAGAAAAGGACACAAAATTTAATTAAAAGTGTAACTCCTCTCTGCTCCCTACGTATAAGTGTGGGAAGTGACTCCTACCCAAACAGAGAAGAGCCTTTTTGTTTTCAGCCTCCCTTGGATCTGGCCTCCAACTCCAATACAATCCCTCTTACTGTTAGTGTTGTTACTTTTTCTAACTCCTTAAAAGGGAGTCAAGCATCTCCTTAGAACAGAATGAATGTGAGGGAGCAGAATTAGTCTCTGCATCACTCAATCATAGGCAAAGACTGCAACAGCCCCCCAGGCGACCACTTCTTAGCTGGAGCAGAGCTAAACGAAGGACGTGATTCCTGACCTTCCTCATCTTGGACTCAGAAAGCCCAAGATCCTCATGGGTGATTGGCTGTGGGAAGGATAAAAGAAACTGTCATCCGGCTCACCCTAACTAATAGTCTTCCGAAGGAAAAGAGAAAAGAAGCAAAATTTTGCTTAGATAAAAGGGTCATTTTCATATTCCTGTAGTTTGCAAATATTCATGAGAAATAAACTTCTTAAAGTTTCTTTTTAAAAACAAAGATATTTAATTACTCAGATACTTAAGGGAAAATATAGTCCATAAACTAAGTTCTTATAGTAATATGGCTGTAATACAATTAAGAAAAATATGATTTTTTACTATGTATATACACATGATTTATAAAAATGTGAAACTGGAAAGCTACACACTCACAGAGATTTGGAAAATATGTAAAATAGCTTGATTAAACTTCATCCAATAAGCTATCAATGAAGCATCTATATTAAGACTCTTTTAAATCTGTGCCCAAACCTTCTAATTCCATGGCATTATAAAAGATGCCTTAATAATAGTAGCAGGTTTGAATCTGAATTTTTTAAATGCCATTACATAATTTAATTAAAAAAGGGAAAATGTCTGAGTACTAAATGTGAGATGATAGATGGAGTGGTTCTGATTTTTCCCCTCTGAGGGTTTTAATATTCCACTCAAAAGTAAATGCCTTTCTATCGATGGTATCTCTTCCTATCTATCTAGTCTCTCCCCCAGTCCCATTTAAACAATTTATAATGTTTCCTCAGAAACTTGAATTTGGAACAAACAGCTTAAAACTTCCCCTCTATCTTTGTAAGGAATCAAATGTGATTTATTTTGCCAGCGTTGGAAAGAAATGTGAAAAAATGAACAAAATAATCCATTAACTTCATAAGGGAGGGGGTCATTGTTGTTGTTGTTTTTATATTCTTAAATGCTAACATTTTCCCTGGAAATTTGCGTCTCCCCGGGGATTGTTTGGCAATTTGGTTGCCATTCCATTAAGTTTCCCTGGTGGTTAGATTCAGAATTGCAGAAATATGACTTCAGAGCTAAAGTACACGTTTTCTTTCTCGCTAAAATATTAAAGAGAATTATACGTGAACTCCATTATTGACATGTCAGAGGTTTACTTCCACCTGAAAAAAGGTCACCTTGTCCAGCATCATACACACGGAATACATTGAAGTAAAATAACTATATAGTCTTTCACCCTGGAAATAACAAATTTTATGTTAAATAGTTATGATGAACGTTATGATAAAGCTGTTAAAATAATTGATTGGATAGTATTTTGAGGCAAGGTTTTTTTGTTGCTGCTTTGTTTTCAGCTCCCAAAGACTTCTTTCGTGAAGTTTGCATGCCTTAAATAGAGCCATTAGGCATTCTGATGTAGGCTCTCCATGCTTTGAAGAAAACAGCACATATCTAACAAATTTCAAGGGATTCCCCCCAGTACATCAATGCATCTGTCTGTTTTGCAACCATCTGTTGGCCAGCAGCGCCATCTCTTACATCCAGCAAGCTTCCCACATGTGTTCCATTGACTGCCATTTCCACCAAGGGAAATACAGCAAGAAAGCCCTTTCAGCTCTCAATTTTTAAATAAACAGCTTTGTAATGAGACTTTAGAAAGTGCCATGATTCATTATACACGATAATTTTCCCACAATACATAATGGACGTTTGCTAAGAATATTAATTTCCTCTTCCAAATGGTAAATGAGAAACAAAGCACCTAAGTATCTTATGAGATCAGTATAACGGAGCTGAAAGTGTTGCTTGTATAATATTTCTGTCGTTTTGTGTATTGTTCTGTCATCATGATATCAACATCTTTTTCATCCCTAAGAAGAAGAAACGCTAGAGAGGCCGATGGCCGAGGAGGAGAACCCTGCTGCTCTTCCCGGGAAAGAGCGTGGGGCTGCTATGTCCTCAGACCAGCACAAGGGCTGCGGTGAGGGCCAAGTGGAATCTAGTGAGAAGGCCCAAGTAGCTCCTGAAGAGAGCGCCCCATCAGGGACCCCACTTGAGAAAAGTGTAAAGGTTGCAGAGGGGTCTCCGGAAGTAAAAGCCCCTTCCTCTGCCCAGGAAGGTGTGTCTTTCTGGGGACTTGCATGTATTTTGTTGCCAATGATCTTCCGAGCAGTGTATCAAGCTGATGCCTTTTCGACGCTATTTCATTGCTCGGTCTTCCCATGCTCACAAGACCACGTTTCAGGCTTCCTGGGGAGGGAGGGTGGCTTGCGCGGGTGCTGCTATATGACCGCTTGGTGTGGCAGAAACCACTGCTGCCGCTGGTTTCTGATTTTACGTTGCCAGGATACAATGCGCTTTGCAGCCAGGCTGATGGTGCTGTGCGGCCTGTTGTTGTTTTGTGTTTTTGGTTTTGTTTTGGGGGGGGTTTTTTTGGTTATTTTTTCTTTATCTTTTTGTTTTTCCTCATCTCAAACGTTTGCCAGTCACATTGCTAATACATGTGTATTTTTATTTGGGGGACGGCAATTCATACGCTTTCCTTTCCAACCGCAGCGTTGTTTGTTGACTTCAGCGTTGGCGCATAGAAGCTTGTGTGGTAGAATCACTTTTGTTTGCAACCACACTGTGCTCCCACCTTTCTACGCTTTAACGAGTGTGGGTCGGTTTCCTTTGAAGCTGGTGCTGAGGCTTCTCATGTAATTCCTCGTCCTGGCAGCCAGTCCCTTTCCATCAGCCCCATCTTCCTTTCTTGAGTTTGCATTCATCTCCCTGTATTAGAAGTCCGTGAAGTATTTCTTTTCTCTTGTTACAACGGGACACACAAGTACATACGTAATAAGGAAATGGTGATCCAGGCTGTAGCTCTTCAAGAGATGCTTGAATTTTATTATTTCTCCCAAAATCATTTCTAAATGATTGCCTTTAGTGATACGGACCACAACAAAAATACCCTTGATTTTAAAACAAGTGGAACTTTGAAATCTTTTAAATTGGTGAATAAATAAAAATGGGCCATTTCAACTTCTGAGAAGCATCCTCAGAACCATTGTGCCATTCCTAGGCAATGCTTCTCCAGGCGGTCCAGTTCCATAGAACGAGGCCGTGGAAAGGAATGTATATTAGTTATTGATTCTTTCAAAAATGTTACTCTACTCACACAACTTCCCAGTAATCATACAATTCATATTTTCTTAAGCCTATGTACAAATGAGAATTTAATGAAATTTGAACATAGGTTCAATAATGAAATAATTGACACTAATATCATTATGAGTTGATTGGTCGTCTGTCCATGACCTGCCAATTCACTTTCAGATGAAAAAACAGTAAAAGTTAGTAGAAATCAATTGTTATATATATTTAGTACTTCAAATATATTCTCTCACACCCTAATATTAAGTATTTAGTCAACAGTCTTTAATTCATCATTTTTATCTGTGAAAGGCACATGGAAATTGTTCTACTAAATTTTACATTATGTAATGTTTAGGAGAGACTGAACATAAGCCCAGAGGATAGCCCAGTGTATTTAAAAGTAAATGCTTATACAATTAGAGTACACATGAATGCACAATGGGAGTTTATTGTAACAACGCTTCACATAGATCTCAGCCCTGACATTTTCATATTGATTTTCAAGTGGGTGGCATGCTTGCATGTTCCATATTGTTTTCTTTTTACACTGCCATTCATTTATCATTTCAAAATATAATGGTAACCTTACTGCCTGAAAGCAATTGCCTATTACTTGTTTAAAAATCCACCCAATTACTTCAGGTTTGCTTACAGCCTCGAAGATGGAATCCCATGATCAGCATGAATTGAGTCCATCTACAACGGAGCCATTAGACACAAAGGCAAAGGAGGCGGAGAAGCAAAGTAAGCCTGGTGAAGATCCTAAACACGCTGCCTTAGTTTCTCAGCCAGAGACAACTGGAACATCCCCTGGTGGCAAGGATGGGCAAGAACAGGAAGAAGAGGACAGAGCACCTCCTAGTCTATGTGGACACACTCTGGATGCCGCTCCTGAAGACTTTCAACAGAAGACAGATTTGAGCTCCCCAGTGCCTGGGATAGGCTTCTTTGCAGAGTCTCCAACTCAAAAAGAGCAAAAAGACTGGTTTATCAACATGCCGACGGAAGCCAAGAGAGATGAGTGGGGCTTAGCTGCTCCAATATCGCCTGGTCCCCTAACACCAATGAAGGTAAAAGACATGCTTGAAGATCTCCCCAAATGGGAAGGGAAACAGTTTGATTCTCCCATGCCAAGTCCCTTTCAGGGTGGGCACTTCACTCTTCCTTTAGATATCTTGAAGAATCAAATGTCTGCGGAAGCATCACCCTTTGCCCCTGTCCTATTACAGCCAGATAACAAAAAATCCCTAGAAGAAGCCAGTGGCCCAGAGTCTGCCAACGATACTTCTAACGTGGAAGAGTCCCTGAAGGATAAACCCGACCAACTGGCAGAAACCCCAGCCTCAGTGGCAATTCCCTCGCCCGAAGACACACACATTCTCGTAGAAGAACGTACCACAGAGAACGTGCCAGAGGAAGAGAGGGAGGCCACAATAGAAGCGAGTGGACAGAAAAGAGGACCCTCCACCTCCAGTGGAGACAAACCGATACTTCCTGAAACAGAGCCCCAGCTCCAGCACGAAGAAAAATCTACCATCGCTGACAAAGAAGCTTTGCCGGAAGATAGCAGACCTCCACAGTCGACAGGTGATGCCACCGGCATCCTTCAGACCACCACAGAGCAGACTTCACCAAAGGAAGCACAGAAAGGCCTAGAACCCACCACAGATAGCTTACAACAAGACTTAGCCCCTTTAACTTCAGAGCAATCCGTGACAGATTCAGCCATGGCCGCTAGAGCACTGGAGGAAGCGCTGACTGAACCTTGTACACTAAGTGCAAAGGGTTCGATCCAGGAACTTTTTGACGAGAGGGTTATTGACAACGATGGTAAGATCGAAAGTGCGGGAGCTGCAGCCTCGTCCGAGCTTGACATGCCATTTTATGAAGATAAGTCGGGAATGTCCACGTACTTTGAAACGTCTGCCTTGAAAGAAGAAGTAACGAAAAGCATCCAGCCAGGCAGCGACTACTATGAACTGAGTGACACAAGAGAAAGTTCCCACGAGTCTTTTGATACTCTATCTCCCTTGCACAAAAGTGAGGATAAGGGAGCCCCTGCAGGACAAGAACCCCAGCCCCGTGTGGCAGCACAGGAAGCGGGGTACAGCACTCTCGCACAGAGTTACCCATCCGATTTGCCAGAAGAACCCAGTTCTCCCCAAGAAAGAATGTTCACTATCGACCCAAAGGTGTATGGAGAGAAGAGGGATCTCCACAGCAAGAACAAGGACGACCTGACCCTCAGCAGAAGTCTAGGCCTGGGTGGAAGGTCTGCCATAGAGCAAAGGAGCATGTCCATCAACTTGCCCATGTCTTGTCTTGATTCCATAGCCCTGGGATTTAATTTTGGTCGGGGCCATGATCTGTCTCCCCTGGCCTCTGATATCCTAACCAACACTAGTGGAAGTATGGACGAAGGAGATGATTATTTTCCGGCCACAACCCCTGCACTGGAGAAAGCCCCTTGCTTCCCAATAGAGAGTAAAGAGGAAGAAGAGCAAATCGAGGAAGAGAAAGCAACAGGCGAGGAAACTATCCAAGCGGAGACATCCTGCGAGTCACCTTTCCGCACCAAAGATTACGACAAAAATGGGACTGTCATGACCCCTGACTTGCCCGAAATGCTAGATCTGGCAGGCACCAGATCGCGATTAGCTTCTGTCAGTGCGGATGCTGAGATGGCCAGGAGGAAGTCGGTCCCCTCTGAGACTGTGATGGAGGAGAGCTGTACTGGTTTGCCCCCCGTAACTATGTCCCCCCGTGAACACCATGTCGTTGTCAAAACAGACAGTCAGCTGGAAGACCTGGGCTACTGCGTGTTCAATAAGTACACAGCCCCGCTCCCGTCACCTGTTCAAGACAGTGAGAACTTATCTGGGGAGAGCGGTTCCTTTTACGAAGGCACTGATGATAAAGCCCGGAGAGATTTGGCGACAGACCTTTCTCTGATTGAAGTCAAACTGGCAGCAGCAGGGAGAGACCAAGATGAGTTGAGTGGGGAGAAAGAAAGCTCCCCACCTACGTCGGGGCCAGGTAGGGAGTTTGATCAGGAAAGGAAAGCGAATGATAAGCTGGACACGGTGCCAGAAAAGGGTGAAGAACACGTTGATGCAAAAGAACACACCCAGGAAGCAGAAGAGGCTGGTGACAAAGTTGAAACATTTGACTTAGGAGTCACCGGTGAGCAGTCCTTGGCCGAAGAGCTGACAGGATCGCAAGATACACCTCCTCTCATGGCTGAGAAAGGAGAGGGAGGTCTAAGCTCAGTGCCAGAAGTAGCGGAGGGCGAGCCAGCCAAAAAAGATGAACCAGGAGTGGATCGGGCCGCAGAGAAGGCTGAGCAGGGTCCATTAGAGGTTCTAGTCAGCGACTTTGGACAGATGGCCGCAGGGCCAGCTGTGGATACTGGCATGGCGACAGAGTTGAAACCTGAAGAAGCACAGCCAGACCTGGTCCCTTCATCCAAAGTTCCTCAGGAGGCAGATGCCTTGACAGGTGTTGAGTCTGGCCACACGAGAGAAGGCCCCAAAGTGAGTGAGACGGAAATCAAAGAGAAGGTGGCCAAGCCGGACCTGGTCCATCAGGAGGCTGTGGACAAAGAGGAGTCCTATGAGTCTAGTGGTGAACATGAAAGCCTGACCATGGAGTCCTTGAAGCCCGACGAGGGCAAGAAGGAGACTTCCCCGGAGTCCTCTCTGACCCAAGATGAGATTGCTGTGAAGTTGTCGGTGGAAATACCTTGTGCCTCGGCCGTCTCGGAGGCTGAGAGCGCCCCGGATGAACGAGCCGAAGTCCAGATGGAATTTATTCAGCCTCCAACGGAAGAAAGCAAAGACACCCCAGATATCTCCATCACGCCCTCGGATGTCACCGAGCCCTTGCTGGAAGGGGTTGTGGCAGAACCCGTGGAGGCTCAGAGTGAGGAAGACGAGATCGAAGCCCGGGGAGAATCTGACAAGCTGCTCTTCCGCTCGGACACCCTTCAGATTACGGACCTGGGCGTCCCGGGTGTCAGGGAGGAATTCGTGGAAAGCTGCCCCGGGGAGCACAAAGGCGTCATCGAGTCCGTGGTAACCATTGAGGATGACTTCATCACCGTCGTGCAAACCACCACTGACGAAGGGGAGTCTGGTTCCCACAGCGTCCGCTTTGCAGCCCTGGAGCAGCCCGAGGCCGACAGGCGACCGTGCCCTCCTGGCGAGGAGCCCGAAGGAGAAGAGGCAGCCGAAGCCCAGGCAGAACCCAAGGAGGGCTCCCCAGACGCCCCAGCCTCCCCCGAGAGAGAAGTCGCCCTGACAGACTATAGGACAGAGACTTACGACGATTACAGAGATGAGACCACCATCGAGGACTCCATCCTGGATGCTGACAGCCTCTGGGTGGACGCTCCAGGTGTGCATTCTTTCTTTTTCCGTTTCCTACTCTCAGATAAAGCCCCATAGCCACGTCGGGAACCATACTTCCTTCCCTAAGTAGTCTCCTCCTTTCACAACGCCCCTTAGTGTCTTTACTCTGCCTTTTGTAAACTCTACCAGCGCTCTTGCACACTTGTTACTAATGCCTTTGTCATTGTTGTCGTTTGCCATGGTTTGCTTTGATCCGCAGATGATGATCGGAGCATCATGACAGAACAGTTAGAAACTATTCCTAAAGAGGAGAAAGCTGACCCGGAAGCTCGGAGATCTTCTCTTGAGAAACATAGAAAAGAAAAGCCTTTTAAAACCGGGCGAGGCAGAATTTCCACTCCTGAAAGAAAAATAGCTAAAAAGGAGCCTAGCACAGTCTCCAGGGATGAAGTGAGAAGGAAAAAAGGTTCATTTAATAATCACTTCTCTTTTAAATGTGTTTTTCTTAAGTAAGTCGTTAATGTTCTTCTGTAGAAGAAACTGCCTAACCGCGGTAATTATTTATGACATTTCTTTCGGGTTTGCTCCAAGTGTTTCTCTTTTCCTGATGGTGTGCTTCTTTTGTGTTTTCTTATTCGTAGCGGTTTATAAGAAGGCTGAACTTGCTAAAAAAACAGAAGTTCAGGCCCACTCTCCCTCCAGGAAATTCATTTTAAAACCTGCTATCAAATATACTAGACCAACTCATCTCTCCTGTGTTAAGCGGAAAACCACAGGTGACTGTTCACTTCTGCAATGTGGCTGGCAAACATAGACCTTTTTTTTGTTCCTTCTTTTTTAATGTCATTGCCCTAGAAGCTTCTTCAGTTTTGTTTGTGTTTTCCCCAAGAATCTCAGTAGTCATGAACGATGTTGCCGTTAAGTGCCTTGTATCATTACCCCCTCCCTTTGCAGAAGAGCCCATGCTCATCTATCTCTTTGTCACGTTCAACCTTAACCCGTGTGTGATTGTGTCTCGGCATTGTGTCTGAGTGTCACGTTATGAGGATTCCCGTTTTCATTCTGTGTGTTTGGTAAGACGGTGGTGATGAGTTTATGTGTGGTATGCATTCTCATTATTTTGCTTTTTCTCCTTCCTCATGCTTAAACCCACACATACCCCTCCCATTTTTTTAACATGGTTACTGCCAAATCTGTTACTGATGTTGATGAATTTCTTTAAAATCTCCTAGAATGCACAGTGATTTGGTGATTGAAAATGGAAAAAGCAAAATACGGGTAAAAGTGTGGTTTCCAAAATAACTTTTCTCTAAATGAAAATCAACAGAGAAAAAAATGAAATTGCCTGCTAATCTCACCAGATTGTATGCCTCTATCCAAAATTAGTGGAGCATTCCATCTATATTCCTACATCTTTTAGTTTACACTTTATCTTGAGGTTTTCTTAAACGTGTTGGATCAAAACTGTCAAAATTCTCTACATAAGTCAGTATAAAATTCTAAGATAAAACTCCTTCTCCCTGAATATCTTAGATCCCACATTGTTGTTTCTATCTGTCTTCTCGAACTATACTAATTTTTTAACTTGATTCCTAGATTTGAGTGCAAAGTATCTACTTGATATGTATTATGATATTACTAAGGGGCAGACATGTCAAGGACATAATAAGATCTTGACTTGCTAATTCAGAAATTGACTTAATTTGCATTATAAATCTTAAGTGCTTCTATATGCATCTTGGAATGGTTTTAAAGGTAAAGAGCAGCCGTCACCTCTGATAACCAGAGAAAGAACATGAAGGTCATTGACGGACTTTATGAGAGCCACTAGCATTGTTTTGTGCTTGTGTTCATTTAGGACTAAACTCCTGTGCTGTCTTTCAAGACCTGGTTTCTAAGGCAGGGTTTGAAAGTGAAAGGTTAAAGACAAACCTTAAAGATAGAGGCTCAGTTGGGGGGGGAGGGCTCCTCTAAATTAGGAAGCAGCGAGGGTTTAACACTGCATCGCTCAGTCTTGTATTATGTCTTCTTGAGTTCATTTGCCCAGGTTTTTAACATCACTGAGCTTGATAGTTGCCTTCTACTTAGATTAGACAAACGCTTGGGCCGGCAGAAGAATATTTTAACTTGTGCATGAAAGTCCTACGTACCACATGAAAGGCCTGACAGATGCCCTCGGGTTTGTGGGATTTCCGAGGAAATTCCAAATGGTTTAATGTAATGACTACATAACATTGATATTTAAGTGACTCATTTTAATAGTTTTAAAAAGCCAATCGTTAAGGAAATTCAGAGTTTGGGACTAATTAGCATTTTCCCTTATTCTACTCAAAGAGTGAGGGAGCCCTGGGGGTGTGTCATGGCTCCACGTTGGGCTGCTAGCCTCAAGCTCCAGAGTTCAGAACCACCCGCTGCTCCGCTGCTCCCTGGGAGGAAAATGGGGCTTTCTACTCCCTGGAACAGTTGCAGTCTTGGAAACTTACAGGCGCAGTTCTACCCCGTCCTGTAGGGTCACGATGAGTTGGCATCAACTCAATGGCAGTGAGTGTTTTGTTTTGTTTTGTTTTGTAAAAGATTAAGAAACCTCTACACATACAAAGAGAAAAACATAAACAAAGGAGTCATGGATTTAAAGAAAACTAGGAGGGCATCTTTGCCCTCTTTCTTTAATGAATCAGCTCTAGACTTTGTGAATAATCTCCCTAGTCAAACCTACATAGCAAATAGCATGTTGTAGAGAGTGAATGTTTGGGGTTAGAGTAGCACATGGTATAAGCATCTATTTTGAATCTCATTCAGGATTTTCAGGATAAGTATTTTCTCTCTTATGGTAGCTCTGTGGTTAAAGTATTCAGCTGTTAAGTACAAGATTAATGTTTTGTAAATGTGGCCATCTGCTCCAGTCAAGAACGCAGCCTTGAAAACCCTACAGGCAATTAATTCTACCCTGTCTGATTAATAAGCCCTGGTGGCACAGTGGTTCTGAGTTTGACTGCTAATCACAGGTAAGCCGTTTGAAACCACCCGTCTCTCCACAAGAGAGAAAGTAGGCTTTCTACTTTCGCAAAGAGTTGCAGTCTCAGAAACTCATCGGACTGGGTTAAACTGCTCCTGTGGCTGTCCAAGACTATCTTAGGAGCCCTGGTGGTCTAGTGATTACATATTAGGCTGCAATCTGCTTGGTCAGCAGTTTGAAACCACCAGCAATTCCACGGGAGAAAGACTAGGCTTTCTACTCCCATAAACAGTTACAGTTTTGGAAACCCACAGGGGGAAGCTATGAGTCAGCATTGACTGGATAGCAGGGGATCTGCTTTGGGTTTTCTAAAGTCACCAGGCGTCAGAGTTGAGTACCTTGTCTTAACGAGGTCTACCTGTGAGTTGAAATCTACGGGGTGGCAATAGAGAAGTGGGATAAACACATAGGCTTGAATATTCTAAGTACAATTTCTTTTATTCAAAATACAATACAGGCAGTTCTCAAAACCACAAAGGGCTGTTTTAAATTAAGACAGATAGTTAAGTCAAGTCAGAGACAATTCATCAACAGAAGATATGCTACAGATAATGGAGTTCAAACTCCAACCAGCAGCAAGAGAAACAACAGTAACAGATGCGGTGACGGTTTCATCCAGGATGTGCATGCGGAAGACATGTTCTGTATTTCCGAGCTCAGAATCCCTCTTGTTTGCTCTCCCTGACAAACTCTTTTTCTTCCCTCGGCTAGTCATGTGGTGCCTTTTTACGTCAAATAATTGTGTCATTTCTGTTCCGAAATGAAGGGGTGCAGAGGGAATGGAGTTGACTGGCATCTTAGAACACAGAATGCAAAAGCATCTGCCGGTACACAATGGCTTTCGGAAGGGGCAGAGGGCTTGGAGTCCCTGCGGACACTCTTCTGTGTGGTGTCAGAGCTACAAACCAATCCGTCCTCTCTCCCTTAATTCCGCAGCTTGTGCCCTGCTGTTCTGTGAGCGCCTTCCCTTCCATCAGATCTGTCCTCCTGGGCAGCGATTCAAATGTAGCGTGGTGGCCATAGGACATCATTGGAGGCGCTTTGACTCTGCTTGAGCAGAGTGGTGTTCTCCACATGCTACTGTTATAAGGGTGTCTTCAGTTAGTAAATCTCAGTCTCCAAATAAGAAAAGGTTTGCCTTTCATTTGCAATTGAATATCTCAAAGGTACTGAGGGGTGCATGATGTAGCCTGTAACCTCTAAGTTTAGGGGATTTTCTTGTGTCTTTTCTTTTCAACAGCAGCAGCTGGGGAACCAGCTCCGGCTCCTGGTGTCTGGAAGCAAGGCAGGGACAAAGCATCTGTGAGTAGAGTGAATTTCTCCTGTGTCTTCCTTTGCAGTTCCTTTCTGTGTTGTTTGCAAACTTAACTTGAGGGATAATTTTGGTTAAATGGGTTTGATTTGGTTTGCAGTTACCATTTAGATGCAAAATATTTTAGGCTTTAAAATTTTTTTTTTAATTTAATTTTTAAAAGAAACATTTGTGTGAATTTTGTTCAGCAATAAACACAGTTCTACACCCTAAAATATTCCTACACATTATTTTAATGACTATATGCTATTTCATTTTATTTATTTGCAAAGATTTATCTATGATTGGACTTCTAATTTTTTGTGTCATTTTAACAATTTTACTCTAAAAGTCTTTGTGACTAAACCTCAGAGTGCATTCCTATACACTACCTTAGGGTGGTTTCTCAGTGGTGAAATTATTTTTTGTGAAAGAATGTCCATGTTTAACATTTTTGTCCCATGTGCCAAATAGCCCTGCTGCCCCTTATAATTTCTCCAATTCTATCTGAGAGCTGTCTGTGTTCATTATTATTTAACTACTTTATATTTCTTTTGTTCATTTATTGTTATGTTTTTTATCATATTTTCATTTGACAAGACCCAGACAACAATATCAAGTATTCTTACTCAGTTATGATTGACAGAAAATTTTAGATCCTAACATTAATTATAAAAATACAACAGATTTAATTATGTTAATCAGTAGCTTATCTCCAGGTTCTGAGTCTCAGCCATCGAGTATCTGTAAATTCCTTGTTTTTTCTCATTTGCTCTTCCAAAAAGTGATGTTAAACTTCTACTTTTTATTCATGGTCATAAGTAGTGTTTGATTTCCTGTGACAACCAGGTCTTTCATTTTGTCTTGAATCTGACGGGTTCACATTAATCAAAGAAAGTGGTTAATTCTATGTGAGTGTTTTCTGGCAGACTCCTGACCACAGTCTGTATCTTCCTTTGCTAAATGTCGGGCTTTCTCTCGAGTGTGATGTGGTTTCATTTCCATCGCTTTACCTGTTTCTAACGAAGCAGTAACACGTTCTAGCGGGAGGAGCAAGGCTAGAAACAGACAATGTCAAAATCCTGAACATAACCATAGGGAACATTTACATCCTTTGCTTTAATTTTCTAAAATTAAGGAATTAAAAGATTCCGTATCATATGAGTTATGAAAAGGAACTATTAGAACTCTATAAAATAGTGCTTGCTTCGGCAACATATCCTATAGCTCTATAAAACAGTATATACTGCCACATAGTCTTTGCTGGATTGTGATAGTGGTAACTATTTTTACAACAACTATTTGAAAGATGAAAGTCCTCAACCACAGTTATAAAAAGTATGACTGATCTTTTCCCTTTTAGGAAAGAATTTTTAAGTAGACATGGAAAATGCTGAGGAAATTTCCAATTCTCTTTATCTTTGAGTAAATCAACAAAGTCATCTTTTAATGCTTACATTTATAACAAAAATCATTTACACAAAACCAGCTTGTTTCTCTTGTCTATACCTACATACTCTTTGTGAGGAAGAGCTATTTCATCAGTATTCTTTTAGTCCCTCGCATATTAGACTCTCCTCTTTCTTCCTAGGACTTCATCTTCTTCCTCGATGGTTCTTCGAACCCATGGTTAATTCTTTATTAATTTATCTCTGCTATTTGGTACTGATCTAAATTATGAACCTGATCTTCTCACATTCCTTTATTTGTGTTTGACTGGTAGGTTTTATTTGTTTTGCTTTATGCTTATGTGACATTGATAATTGTCTTCTACAATTTGAGGCCATCTATTACTCCATTTTACCCCCTAAGCCACACTTTTGATTTTCAGCCTTTTGTGGATGAGATCAATCAAAATAGATTGACTTGTGTTGACCCAATAACACTTCCCACTCACGACTCTGAGGCTCTAAAACAAGGAAGCAGAGGTGCCACCTGTGATTGCTTCTGATTGTGCTGAAGCTGCAGTGCAGGTTAAAACCTGAGAGGAGATCTCAGTTTCAACTGCTATTTTTGTGGCAGCCAAATTATATTAATTATTTAATGATAAGAAATCTTCTGAACGTTGTCATACTTGCCTGTGTTTTTAACAGAGTTCCCTATGAGACACATGCCTTGCAGCATAGCTTGCTCTAGAATGCCATATATCCAACCCACTTACTAGTAGACAGTTTATTCGGGAGTGAACAAGACCTACAAATTAAGTCATGTGATTTTCATGGGTGTTGCCTTTAGTGATGGCTTTCATTTTTAAAATGTATGAAACATCATATCAGTTGTAGCCTATGCATTACCTTGTTATTAATTCTAGTCTATCTAGGTCCCAGTATCCACTTCATATATCAAATTTATTCAGCATATAGGAACTCTTCAGCCCTCTGATAAAGACAATATAGATTTTCCTTAAATTTTTTCTCAATCTTTAAAAATTTTCCCATTATTAGACCTCAAAGACATGCTATTGTAAAGTCTGTGTAACGGTGCCTATATATGAATTATGTACACACCTTTAAGGTTCTGTTTATTAGAGAAACAATTCTGAAAAGCTCTCAAGGTATTTTACAAGTATAGTATCATTGTAGCTTGATTAATTAGATATATACATAGAAATCCATAAAGAACATTTTATATAGACTGGTCTAAAATTAGAGAATTAAATATCAAATTACATTAAGAAACTTAGTCCCTAAGATAATCTTTTTAAAGAGAAAAGAAGTTTAATCATCTTCTTGCTAACTTCCATGTATAATATTTTTCCATCTTAGGGTTTATTTTATAAAACATGTTATTTCTAACCAATCCTGAACCATGGAATTTCATATTTGGGACTTTTATTTTGGCCTATCCCAGTACTTGAACATGATTTTGATTACAACAGGCCTTATTTTGATGTCTTGTAGAATTATTTTCATTACTACAGGAGTATTTGGGAAAAGATTGTAATTTGCAAAGAGTTGGCCATTTTGGTATAAAGGTCACTACTCATCAGAGAGTATCTTATTTTTCCATTCCCCTCCGAAGACATAGATGTAATACTGAAGGTCATATTCAATTTTAAAGTAAACACACTGAAAATATGTGGGGACTCTATTCAAAAGGCTAATAGAAATCAGTATTATGAAAAAGATATCCATAGATTTCAAAATAATCTGCACACTTGTCTGAATAGAATCTAGTTTGAAACATTGAAAAGGGTAAGTTTGACGAGAGTCCCTAACAGAATAGCATGAATTCTGCTGAAATTGCAGCAAGAACAAACACCAAATATATGGTAATGTGTGGGTGGAATCATGTGAAATAATTGATGCTGTACAAAAAAGTTATGGGGGCGGGGAGTTGGGGGGGGGGAATATGTCCCAACGAAGTCAGCCATTTACAAATGGAGAGCTTATCTTAGGAAGGTCTGAGACAGTGTTACAGTGGCAGACTATCCACATTCGTTTTCAAGGAAATAATCTTGTTCCTGCCTTCATTGAAAAGGCCCACAGTTGACAAGAGAAACAGTAGTCAATAGCACACACATAGCAATTGGTTCCGTTTAAACACATCTGACCTAAGAACTAAAGTTGAGCAAACTTGCTGCTCGTTTGGTGCCGCACTTTGGCACCTGGATCAACTGCCAATCAGAGCAGGGCTTTCAAGAGGAATTTTAAACATATGTGATCAAGACTCTAAAGCACTTGGGATAATGTTGTAGGAGGACATGAAACATGGCTCTGCCGGTACATCCCTCAAGACAACAGCACAATCGAGAGATGGAAGTGCTCCTCTCAAAGCAAACGTCGACTGGTCAAGAGCGAACGTCCTGGGGACAGTTTTTTGGCATGCTCAAGGGTGTTTGCTTAACTCTCTCGAGGGCCAAAGAAGAATCATATCTGCTTGCTGGAAAAGTGTTTTGAGAAAGGAAATGTTTTAGCAAATAATGCCCTGGTCAGCATCACTAGAGACCCTTTCTTGACCATAACAATTCTCCTTTTCATTCCTCTCAGTAAATGAGGACAGTTTTGTGACTTTCAATGGGAAATCATCAGGCATCTCCCTTCGAGTCCTTACTTGGCTCCTTGCTTCTTTATACTTCCCAATCTTAAAAAATATTTAAAGAGATTTCATTGATTTGGTTGCATTCTCAGAACCCTCAGTTCTTAAGGGCTGGATGAAATGGCGGCTGCTATCACTTACAAATGTGTCTTATCCTTGATGGAGCTTATGCTGAGAAATAGTGTTTGTTTGTTTGTTTAATTTTTACCTCTAGCTCTTTTCTTCTCAAACTTTTAAAAATCCCCTCATAGTGTCTATTAGGAAACAACCCTGCCTTGGATATAAATATATGCATGAGTACAGTGTAATATTGTTTCCCAAAACATTCTATAACTGGAACCTCAGAATGGCATGTGTTAGTCTGGGTACATTAGAGAAACAAATCCACAGAAACTCATATGTGTAAGAGAGAGTTTTATATAAAGGGTAAGTGCACATTAAGAAAACATCCCAACCTAGTGCTGCCCAAGCCCACAAGTCCAACATTAACCCAAGTGTCCGACACCAATCCACAAAGTCCTCCTCCATCTCACAAAAGACAAGCAATGACACCGACTGCAGGAGGAAAGCCAAGTCAGTGAATGTGTAAGCATCTCAGCGCTGGCAGGGGTCTCCACATGGCAGGGGTCTCCACATGGCTGCTCCAGCACCCAGGGCTGCATCGGGGGTAGGTCCATGCGGCTTCTCCTCAGGGATGTCTTGCAGGAAGTGAGCCTTGCCAGCTGAAGCAGGGACTTGGCTAAGGCAGCTGCATCCTGGTCCCACTATCAGAAAGCAAGAGACCCGAGAACTCAAAAGGCAGGCTCACCGAGCCATTTATCCCTCCGCCCTTCAATTAGCCCCCACATGTGTTTATCGGTCAGGTTGGCACAATAAACTAACTACCTCATGACCCTAGCTTATTTCAGAAACTAGAACATCTTGAAATTGGGTTCCCTTTCTGAGCAAGTCATTATTTAAAAACAAGTGACCACCTCAACCTCAGAGGGTTTGCAATGGATCTACTCACCCATAGTAGTCCACACCATAGTTACTGTTATAATTTTCTCCTTCAACCTCAAACTCTGGCCCGAGACATCAACAGTGGGAGGTCTCAGCACTACCCTCCTTCTCAGAAAGGGTCTCTCCTGCTCCTCTTTCATCGGGAAACTTACAGCATTTTTATCTTCGATCCCTTCTTCTGCTTCTCTAAATACAATTGTAAACTGGCGATTTCTACGTCAAATTATCCATTTTGTCTTAGAATTTCACAAAGCCGGTTCCTCCTTAAAGAATGATGCAATGTTAGTCATTCTTCCATTCTTTCACCTGTTCATGCTTGTGTCCCAACATTTACTCTACAAATAGATATTGTGCCACTCTTAAGGACCCAGCACAAACACTCAAAACACGTGGAAGAAAGGGAGATCAAAAAGTATGGAAACCTGGTATAGACCTGATGAATATGAACACAAATAATTTGTCATTAGCTGTGTTTTACGTGACAGACATTTTTATCTGAGTAGTCTTGTTAGTTCCAGCTGAAAAGTGTTCTCTGAAAGCATCTTGTGCTCACGTAGATATCCACCTCTGTCGTTAATTATAACCACTTATCATTGTGTTCTCATTAAAATCAAATGTTTAATTTCCTATATGTTTATACTTCATTTATTTTCTTTTTATTTCATCGTTTGGTTTATGTTGTATGTTTTTGTTTGTTTTCTTTCATGGCTAGAATCTGACCTTGTCAAAGATTCCAGCCTTACAGGGTGGCACAAAGTCCCCAAGATGCAGCTCAGCCTGCCCTAGCACGACCAAAAGGGCTACCTTTTCTGACAGTTTTTTAACACAGCCCAACTCGGCAGGCTCCACAGACCGTTTGCAATACTCAGAATCAGGGAGCAAGGTAAGGCTCGAGGCCAATCGAAGGTGCAGAAAGCAATCCTGTTTGGAGAAGGTTACAGAAAAATTTCAGGAAATGTATATGCAAGTAAAGACTTAGTTCTAAACTATATGAGCCATGACCCATATGCCCAATTTAAAACTATTACAAATTAAATGTGCACATAACTATTAACAATCAAACCAATAAATAATAATAATATATTAAAAATGTGCCTCTGTGTAGAGAAATACTATCCAAGATTAATTTATTACTCTTTTGATTCTCCTGTGAAATTTAAAATATAAACTAATAGAATGAATTATATATGATATAGAAGATATTTCATAATGTATCATACTCTATATAATTTTATAATACTAGTTATCGATTATTGTTGTGAGATTATGTGTAACCTAATAATAATTCACTATTATTTGGTTATATATAATAAATAGTTTGGAATTGGATACTTGAGAAAATAAGTTATAGAGTACAAAATGTTTACAAGGGTATAAAATGTATTAATGTACTTTAACATGAACTCATCTATCATAACCAGTGCGGGGGGGGTGTCAGAGCAATGTGATCCCATTGTGTAACTAAAATAAAGATCCCCAAAACACAGAGTCTCCTTTCTCTCCATCAGGATGGAGTGACCAGGAGTCCAGAAAAGCGCTCTTCTTTGCCAAGACCGTCCTCCATCCTCCCTCCTCGGCGAGGAGTGTCCGGAGACAGGGATGAGAATTCCTTCTCTCTCAACAGTTCCATCTCTTCAGCACGACGAACCACTAGTAGGTTTCTCCTGACTTGTCTTTTCTTGATATAATTTTCAACATGTTTAGTGGAATAGAATTTACTATGTTTTGAAATCTTGTATCATTTAAATAAAATATTAAGGACAAAACATATTTATTTTAAGAATCACAAATTCCAGACCATAGGTGTAGCCAAACTATCTAACTGTTTCAGTCAAAACTCACTGATGGAGGACATGGGAATGTGTCACCATGGTGTGTATTAAGTTGTTGGCTGCCAGCAAGTCAACTGCAACTAATGGTGACGCCAAGAACAAGAGGATAACAGGATGAGATGATGATTCATTGGTTTTGATTGACAGATTTTCTGAAGGAGCGCCCAGTCCTTTCCCCATAGTTTGTTTTAGACTGGGATCTCTGCTAACACCTGGCAACATGCAAGTCTCCACGGATACACATGGCGGCTGTTCCGTGGTGCATTGGCCAAGATTTAAGGCTGGTCTCCCTTATGGAAAGGGAGACTTGTGTGATAATTAAGGCCTCTAAAGTGAACTCGAGACATATTTAAACCATAGATGTGTTCACGGATTTGGGGCTTGCACTTGATTCTAGCCCAAGCTAGAGATGGTTGTTTCTTATGACATGGCCCTGCTCTATGCTCGAACTCGTGAAAATCACTGAAGATATGGGTGCTAGAGCAAAGTCAGGTGAAGAAACCCAAAGGTGCCCAGCTATGCGAAATAATAGTGCCTGGGGACTTGAAGGCTTTCTTAAAACAAGTAGGCATCTAAGTGAGACGTCAACTAAGTCCATATGGAAGAAGCATACTAGCCCGTGTGATTCAAAGATGACAAATACTAATACCCAAATCTGAAGGAGGGAATGGTATTAGAGGCAATGCATGACAGTGGGACCTCAGAATCCATTTGCAAGGTCCCTACTTGGATTAAGCCTCTGATGAATTCGATCATTTGATCATTTGATCTGTTTTGACCCATTTTAAGCTTGTTCTAGTTTTCAATATTCCCTGCTTTTTTTCTCAATTAGAGTTTTTGTTTCCCTCTGGTTTATTTTCTTATTATTGTTGGGTTGTGGTGTGTGTGTGTGTGTGTGTGTGTGTGTATGTGTACATATGTGTTTTCAAGAATATGAAGACCAGGCTGGGTGAAGTTGTAGAGACAGTGTTAACTGGATTAGGGGATTAGTGGGGAGGGAATTGGAGGGAAGTGGGGAGCTAGTAACGAATACAAGTGGGAAGAAAATGTCCTGGAACTGATTGTAAAGATTATTGTACAGCTATTTTTAATATGACTGACTATAGAAGTGTATGATACATCAACCATATGTCAGTAAAACTGCATTTCATAAAAGAGAGAATGCTACCACTAAACCACACTACCCTCATAGATTTAATAAGAGTAAGTAATTTTTCTCAGAATATACTTTCTGTCTTGTTTCAAATATCAGTGAAAGAATAAAATTCTAAAGAAATAATTAATAGAAAAGGCAGTCGTCAGAAATAATTTAAAGAAATAATTAATAGAGAAAGCCAGTCATCAGGAACTTTAAAAATATACAGCAAATATAAGCTTATATTTTGATTGAATTCCAAATTCTAAAGTCAAACTGGAGAGTAAACAATCAGAACCTAGAATCATAGTTAATTTGTCGAGTCTATATTCTAAATGAGGCTGCCAGTGTAACTTGTTCTATGTAATAGCTTTTATTTATTTTGATTGATGGCCTCTGATGAACTGATTGGCAATTACTTTTATAGTTTGTGTAGAGGATGCTAATTATTGCCCATTTAATATTTCATGAGTATAAGTCTATCTAGTAAAACATGGATTGAAATTAATTTTATAAGTATTTCACTGTTGGGTTCTCCATGAGGCTGAATCAAGTTAAGGCAAGTTGAGCACATATAGATACTAAATTTTGAAGAGACATTATGTCACTTCTTTAACAATGCTGAAGGCTGTATATTAAAGACCTTATTCAATCTAGTAATGAGATAAACTAATTTTAGATTAAATAATGTGTCCAATCATTTATAGAAAATGGTTGGTTTTCTGCCCACTGATATTTGTGCTCTGAATATTTTTTCTGTGTTTATTTGGAGACAACACTGCTAGAGAAAGTCTGTGTGGATTTACATGGAGAAGAGCACTTCCCTCATTTAAGGGCATCATTTGCCGGTTAAGTGCCACAGTCCTTTGAGACTCGAAGAGACCCTGGAGGGCAGAATAGAGTTGCTCCGTGTGTGTTTAGATGGTAAATCTTTAGGGGGGTCAAAAGCTTCTTGTTTCTCCATGGAGTGACTGGCAGTTTCAAGCTGCTGACAGTCCAGCTAGCAACCCAACACACAGCCCGCCCTGTCACCCGTGCCCCAGGAGCCGGAATCCACTCAACGGCAGTGAATAGTACAGTACGTCACTTAAGAACAAAATAACAGGAGTTGCTACTGTTGTCACCTTATGATTGATTTTGCCATTTCCTTTTTTTTTTTAATTTAGGGATACTTGATCCATTTCAAATGTGACTATTTCGCATGACACTTCAAAAGTGTTTCTTGTCTACAGGGAACGTGTTTTGTTAAAAAGCCAGCGATTGTCCCTGTAAGATTTAGTTTCATCGCGTCTTTGCATTCCTTTTATTACGAACTAGGGCATCTTGAAATCATTACAGATCTTTCCTAAGTTGTATTTATTCATGTATTTATATTGGTGGTGGTGGTGGTGGTGGTGGTGGTGGTGGTGAGAACATGCACAGCCAAACATTTCCCAATTCAACAGCTTCCACCTGCACAATCCAGGAGCGTGGATCTGAGTCCAGTGACATTCACCTCTTTGAGCTGTCCAGCCATCTCGGACTCCTTTTCTGAAAGTTGTTCCTCCCTCATTTACATAGGCCCACTGCCCCCTGAGGTTCCTGTCCATCGTTCAAGTTGCTAGTGTCAGTTTGATCCCATGTAGAGAGTCTTAAAAGATCTTGATGCTCAAGGCTCCATGCCAGCAAGCCCCTTCTGACTCACGAGGGCTCCGTGAGATGGAGTGGAACTGCCCCAGTTGGTTCCCAAGAATGCAACTCTTTGAAGAGTGTAGGAAGCTCACCTTTCTCCCTCAGAGCCCCCAATCGATTTATGTACCTACGATAATTGGAGATTAAAAATATCATCAAATAGCTAGACTTGGAATTGGCCATTAGAAATAACTCCAGGAATGATGAGACAAAACATGCTTTTAAAGGCACTGTGGGCCCCCAAGGGATCATGTTGGCTTATGCTTATATTTGTTACTATGGAAGCAAAATGGCATTTCTCCATAAATGCACATGTTCAAACCACTGAACTCTGCATTATAAAGTGTTTTTTAATGTTCTGAGTCCCTTCTGTTTTGGCTTTTACTTTACTTATGGTCACAACTTTATTCCGCTGTATGTAGTAGGTGGTGAACATAACTGATCCTCTGGGAACCTGAGGACAAAGGGTCTGCTTTGTCTCTAAGCTGCATTCGCCAAAAAGCACACAGGCGATTAGAAGAGCAAGAGATTCGCCCTCTCCTTTTCTACCATCGCTTTAGCTGCATGTGGAATGTTCTGGCGTTTTGTTTGGCTCTTGACAAGATTTAAAGGAAACAATTCTGTGCCAAAGGTTTCTTTTGCCAGAGAGGAAAGAAAGATATCTTCGTTGAAAATTTGACAAGATAACTAAGAGCGCAGTTTCGTATAATAACTGGTAGATATTTTAAATTGTTTTAGTATCTAATATTTAACCTCTTCTGGAAACACTTAAATGTATCATTTTGACAACTAGAGGAAATTATATTATACTAATATTCAATCGTATCTGTTGCACTCCAGCGTGAAGGCCCTAGTCCTTATGACTGTTGCTCATTTTTCAGATATAACACAAATCCTTCATTCCTCACTTTTCTAGAACCCTAAGACCATTTGCTGCAAATATGGAAGTGGCTCATACCTTAATAAAATGGTATTTCTTTCAATAAAGATTGTTTTTTACATTTTGTAGTATTGATTAAGCTTAATCCCCACAAAGAAAGAAAATCTCAGCAGACTTCTAATAAACGCTAAATCCAATTCCTTTTGTTAAAAAACTTGTATATTTTTAGCACTACTGAGATCAGTTCTGACGATAGGCGGTGTAAACAATGCACAGATCTCTCACCAAAAAGATCTGAGAAAGTCAAAGGTCAAGTCATTAAGAAATCATTTGAAAAGTAAATGAGATTTCCTGAGAAAATGTTCAGAAAGACAGAGTGCTGGACTCACATCTACATTCTAAAAATTGGACCAGAACAACCCAGCAGCAGGGAAGCTGCAAAAAGCCAAGTTAAATGTGGCTGATGATCCTGGCCTGGAAATGCCATATTTGTGGAAATCAATAAACCTCACAGAAAGAACACTGATTTATCACTTTAATCTTCTCATGTCCCATTTCATAAGACCCATTGAAGGGTGTTTGTTTGACCTGTGTCAAAAGATCAATAGGACCCAGGGCAATCAATGGTCACTATAGGAAAACTATCCGCTGAAAGAGAAAATTTGTCCTATGTTTCTCTGGGAGCGTGAACCTAGATAAATGAGTATGATTACATTGCCCGTAGGTTGCAATGATGTAAGCAGCTTCCTTGAGCGCCCCCCACATACAAATCTAAACAAAACAAAATGCCCCCACTTCGGGAAGTTCTTTTTTCAACTAGTGATGAGTGACTTCAGATGCCCTCTTATCATTCCTTTGGTCCCTTGGTGGTGCAATGCTTAAGAGCTTGCCTACTAACTGAAAGGCTGGTGGTTCAAACCTGCCCAGCTACTCTACAGTACCAAGGACATCCTGTCCCTGTCAAGATGCAGCCTAGAAATCCTTAAAGTTCTCCACTCACCCAGGGCTTCACTGGAGGAGAAATTGCCGTGATGCTTCTTAGCTATGACACCATCCGTCAGTCCCATTGGTTTAAAAGAAATGAGCTCTACCTTTTCCTCTATAATATTTCTAGAAGATTCATTGATTCTATATAACCTATATATTTAGGAGGAAAAAAATAGAAATCATGTTTTATTCTATAAAATGTAAGAAAGATACAAAGTTTCTATAATATACGTATACAATATAAATAAGTGTCCTGTTGGGTTTGCTTATTTATTAAATGAAGATGGACTTATAAAAGTGCTTTGAAATATTTAGATATTTTTATATTAGCATTCATTCCAAAAAGCACTAGAAATGGCATTCAAAATGCTTACATTTTAAAAAGTGAGAGAAGTGCAGAATAGGAATGAGGAGGAGAAATAAATGCACATGGGAATGTCCTACGTAACTGACATGGGTAGATTATTGCTTTGATTCCAACATGCCAAACTAGTGATAAAAGCAGAGGAAAAAGCAAAGTTGTATGCAAGATTTATCACATATATGTAGCATATATGGCTACAGAATTCCAGTTCTCAAGAGAAGAAAGGGAGGTTTTTGCTATTAAAAACTGAGAGAATGTTTCTTAAGAGGCACACAGAGATGTAAACTCGCTACCATTCCAACTCATAGTGGCCTCCAAGGCAGAGTGGAACTGCCACCGTGGCTTCAGACTGAGACTCTATGGGCGTAGACAGCGTCGTCGTCTTGCTCCATCAGAAGCAGTGGTGGTTTTGAACTGCTGACCTTGCCGTTAGCAGCACAATCTACACCTCGGGGCTCCTCCAGTAAAAGATATAGTCGGACAATGTATTTATTACATGGTACAAAGAGCCTTTAATAAACACTCACTGTGCTCCTCAAGAAAAGCTAAGCAAAGCATATTAAAATGAAATTTAATAAATACCATCTACACAGGCAAAACCTATGGGAACTAAATGATGGCTCTACATTGGGGACCCTCTTGATCTAAGGAGTGGATGAATGCACGTAGCATTTAATGAAGTTTCTTTTTCAATTAAACACAAATCCATATGTCTAGATGAACACCTGAGTAGAAAGTCATTTCAGATATGTTTGCATGAGTTTTAAGGAGGATAACCAGGCTTCATCTTTGGGCTGATAGCAACGGCAGTTTGAGTAAATCTAATGATGAAAGAACAGAGGTTCTTAGCCGTTTGAGTGCTGGTTTTAAGATCCATATATACTTCTACATGCTGTAGGAAGGCACTGCATTGAGTTCTAAGAACCTGTGGGCTGAGAGGGGCCTTGAGAAGGGTTTTCTCACGCTGGGGGGGGGTTTGCTTTGTTTTGTTTGCTTGCTGTAGGGTCAGAGCCAATTCGCCGAGCAGGAAAAAGTGGCACCTCAACACCCACGACTCCTGGATCAACTGCCATCACTCCGGGCACTCCGCCAAGTTACTCTTCGCGCACACCGGGCACTCCTGGAACCCCTAGCTACCCGCGGACCCCACATACACCAGGGACCCCCAAGTCTGGCATCCTGGTGCCCAGTGAGAAGAAAGTTGCCATCATACGTACTCCTCCCAAATCTCCAGCTACTCCTAAGCAGCTTCGTCTCATTAACCAACCACTGCCAGACCTGAAGAATGTCAAGTCCAAAATCGGATCAACTGAGAACATCAAATACCAGCCTAAAGGTGGACAGGTAAGGATCACATGAGCACATATTTGTTGCCATAACTAAAATCCTGTTAATTATCATCTTGACTTTTTGACTTACACATATTATAAGCAAAGAGTACTTAAAAGGGAGTAGTAAAGGGTTATTGGTGATGTTTGTTACATAAGAATTAGAACTTTATCTAAAAAGGCTGGCCTTTAAATTACAATGAAAAACACATGTCATGACCACTCTTTCTGGCTATTGTTTGCTAAAAACTAATTTAACCATATGAGAGAATTATTCAGTCAGTTAATTTCTAATCTTTGAAATTGCCTTTCTTACTTTGCGGATTTTAATTTAAGATATGAAAGTTGTATTACTGACATGAATTTTAAGTTTTTTGTAGATCCTGATCACTAGCCATTTAACTATTTTTTAGTGTATATCCTTTTATCTCCTTTCTCTTCGCCTAGGATGTTCAGTGACATCTTCTTTGCCTCATCTTCGTATCCAAAATCAAATTTCTAGCTAATTTCAAGTAAACATAATAAACAAAGTCAGTGGTCACTGATTAAAATAAACCAACCTAAAACAGCTCCTTAATGTTTCAGGGTTTCTATTTAAGATTAGTTTTATTGAATGAAATTATTAAGTTCTGTCTTGAAACCCTTAACTTCAGCTTCAAAGAAATATTCACATCTTTTTTAACCTTCGGACTTTGGATTCTACCCTTGACTCTGACTTGTGAGGTAGACCTTGCTTACACGGTGTTCAACCGCTCTTGTCAATGAATAGATAAAAGGGATAAAACTATTTTTGAAAGAAAGAAGCAGCAACTTCCTTTGTACATGAACACCTTATAATACCCTTTCAATACCAAAAATCACTCCTTTCTTTTTAACCTTGATAGCTTTCCTACCTCTCTTCTTCTTGGCTCTTCTACCGCTGATTTCTGATTGTGCGCAATCTTAGTGATCCATAACAGAAGTGCCACAAATGGGTGACTCTAACAAACGAATTTAATCTCTCACAATTTAAGAGTCTCCTAGTCTTAAGAAAGACATTCTCTTTCTTTCGCCTCTGAAGAAAGTCCTTGTCTCCTTTCAGTGCTCTTGGACACAATGTTTCTTGGAAATTCCCATGTGTCTTAGCACCAAGCTTCCCCTAGGTTTAGGAGGATGGACACACAGGGACCTACAGTCCAAAGGACATCCCTGGCTCTGCGTTCTTGGTTGTAGTCAGGTCTGTCTTCTGTACGCACTTTTCCTTTTAGCTTTTATAAGATCAAAGATATATCTCAAACTTGATTAAGGGGAATCCCTTGAGTTTGAGTTGGATTTGAGTCAATCTCTCACCTTCTTTTAAGCCTGTGTCTCACTTAGCATATAGAGGTTAGGATTGAAAACACATCACAAAATAAAGGACAATTCAAAAATGAGAGCCAGAAAATTAGACAGAAAAAACATTTCAAATTCTACCAAATCTACAATTATAATTCCCTCCAGTAGAAAGAAAAAGTTTTAAAAATGATGATGCCAACATATATACAAATGTGCTTGATACAATTGATGTGTGGATTGTTATAAAAGCCATAAGAACCCCCCCAAAAATTACTTACTAAAATAAAATAATACTTTTAAATTTTAAAAAAAGTACATAAGAAAAAGTCTCTGCATCTTTGCTTCTAAAGCGTTTTCTGGTTGAGATTCTGCAGTCCATGCCACTTCCAATAGTCTTTGCCAGCATCATAATTACAGTGCAGCAACTCTAAAAAAATAGAAAATAAAATTATAATTCCCCAAATCTGAAAATAGTCTTTTATTCATCAGAATTTTACACACCCCAAAAAGAAAATGTTTAATTGAGCTCTTGGAAATATCTAAATATTATATTGTTTTTATATCTATACATACATTATTTAAAAGAGTAAGGTGAATAAAATCAATTTAATATCAATTTGAAAGTATATCACTTTAACTTTTGTTAGATTAGCTTTAAAACTGAGTAATTGTGTATGCTATCAGAATAATTCTCGATTTATAAATGTGACCACTCTAGTGTATGTTTCTTAACGAGATATAGGATTTACTTGCTTTTTGTCTGCAAAGTATTGATACTTAGAAGAATGTGCTTTACCTGGGAATCACAGGGGAATATATATTCTATTTCATTGAAACTAAAAATGTGTTTTTTAATGGAAAAATATTGATATAACTTACTGAGAAATTTAAGATATTGTATTTTATTTAAATGGGTCCTTAAATTTACAGAGGTAAAATACAGTTTTTGTTTCAACTTTGCAGAAATCTTAAAGATTATACTACTGAAAAATATGAAGAGTTATTCATTGTTTCTACTTCTTTATCTAAGTAGATTAAAGCTGGTGGGGTGTGTGTGTCTAACTTTAGTTACCTTCCACTGTATTTGGCCCATTCAATTAATAGAAAGATGTCATGGTGATTCAAGGTGGGCTGACACTGCCCTATAGATTATAGTAGTTAAAGACTCGTCAAAATGCATGACAGAACAATGACAGGAAGAACACAAATGGCTTTGAAATCACAGTACAATTTTAAAAATTTTATAAAGGTCTTTTTTCATGAAGACCAATGTTAATTTGTGTAAAGTAGCCTGTATCTGCTACTGATGACTTGGAAGAAATCTGAGAGAGTCATGTTATGAAGGGGCATCGTTAGAGAATTTGGTAGTATCTAACCCATACAAGAATTGGAAGGGAAATATAAATAAAAGCAATATATATCTTACAACCTCAAAATTTTCCTGAGTTAATACTTGCTCCTAATTGAGTATTTGTTGCTTTTATACGCACACACACATATAAACATGTATATATGTATGTTTGTGCGTTGTATGAGCCCTCGGAGTGTTGTCTGGTAAGCACTGGACAGCTAACCCACAAGCCCCTCCACAAGAAAAAATTGAGTCTATCCACTCCCATAAAGGTTTATAACCCAGAAACCCTATATAGGGCCTCTAAGAGTTGGAAGCAACTCAGAGGCAGTGGGTTTGGGATTGGGTATATGAAATTTTATATGTGTGTATATGTATATATGTTTGTGTAAAAGTAAATGTTCACAATGTTTAATGCACATATAAATGTGTGTGTGTTTGTGAGTATATGTACATATATACACATATGTATGTGTATATATATGCATAAGTGTGTACAGGTATATACATGCATATATAGACTTCCAAAGTATATAGAAAAATTCCACTATATTTTAATTCCAGTTTTGCTCAACCTTTTTGAAGTCCCCTTGTGTATATATGTTTTTTCTTGCAATCATCATCTCTTCTATTGAAGTCAAATTCTCTACTGGCAGAGAGGTTCAATTCAGTGACTCGGTTCACTGAGGCAAATAAATGTCTAATGGGATAGATAAACGAGCTGACGATTTGAGGAGCTGTACCAAAAGCAAGGAGTTCATCTTTTCAGCCTAAACATTCATCCATTCAACCGGAAAGAACACAGGCACCTGGGGGCTCACCACAGTTGGTGAGTTTGCATCATTTAACTCGAGACTTAGGTAAGACTGTCTCTAGCTGGCTCCCAATCTACAGGACATCCATGTTTCAGAATAATTACGCTACCTTTACAAGGACACAGTGTTGGGGTTAAAAGAGGTAGGAAATTTTCTCTAAATCAGAGGCATAAAAAAAATAAAAAAGCAACAGCTCAACAAATAGTGCTTTTTACCTTTTCTATCTAAGGATCTAGATTTTTCAGGGCACTTTGATTTATGTGGCATACTCTTTTGTGATTGACTAGCCTGGCTCAGTATCATGTCTTTCGGGTTACCCATATTATGAAGGGTTTCCCAGATCCATCCTTATTCTTTCATCTTGCATGTTATGTGGGGTTACCCCCCCACACACAATGGAATTTTACTTTTCAAAGCTCTGTATTTAGTTTTATTGTTGTTGTTGTTTTACAAAACAACCATATCACCTTCAACACTCCATTACACCTAATATATTTGTCAAACCTGCAATTCCATTCTTGGACACATTTTTCAAACTCATCTGTTTAGATAGCTGACAGCATCTCCCTCGTTTTTTTCTTCACCTCTTTTATGTTGTCAAATTGCTGTTCTTTCGTTCCCCTCTGCATTAGCAGAAATAAAAAGAAGTCACACAGAGTGAGGACAGGTGAGTAAGGTGTATGGGGCAAGAGAGGCATGCTGGATTTTTTTTGCCAAAAATTGGCGCACTGAGATGGCTGCTTGAGCAGGTGCATTGTCGTGGTGACAAAACCAGTCCCTAGTCTGCCACAAATCAGGCCTTTTTTGTTACACAATCTTTTCAGAACCTCCAAATAGAAAGCCTAATTAACAGTCTGACCTGGAGGAACGAATTCCAAATGCATTATTCCCCCCTCACATCACATCTGATTTTTTGAGGGTACCCCTCATATTCCTTTGTGTGTGTATGTGTACCATAGTTTGTTAATCCATTTTTCCCCTAGCTAGGTATTAAGCTTGTTTTAATCCTTTTGATATTGTGAATAGCACTATGATGAACCTGGGTGTGCATTTATTTATTTGTTCATGTCTTATTTTTGCTTCATGCCACTGATTGTAAGCCTCATAATATAACACCGTTTCCTCCCTAGTCTCCTGTTGCCATTCCTCTTTCTATCCTAACCCTTCCAGCCTACTGAACTTTGTCCTTGGGCTAAAGCTCCCCTTTTGATCTCAAATTATTATTCTTAGGAGCGTATGCCGCCCTCGTGTTAAGTCTTCTGTATTTTGTAGTTCCCCCTTATAGACCTGCATATTGTGTCACTGAAAACTGAGCTAAAGGGGTGAATTTAGTCCCACGCTTGATGCGTGACTAAATGGGGCTTCCACCAGACTATCTGACCAGCAAGGCTGGAATTTTTTATTTTTTATGATCTTGAGTTTTATTACCCATTTTTCTCTCACCTTCTCCGGGGATCCCTTTCAGAGCAGTCAGTAGTAGTAGCTGAGCACCATCTAGTTCTTCTGGTCTCAACTTTCTGGATGCTGAGATTTGCA